AATAAAATGTGATAAGTAAGTATGATTTGCTGTTTTAAAATCCAGCTACATGCGGTTTCACTTGAAATAGATAAAATGAATCAAGTCCTATTTTCATTGAAATCATAAGTAGGTAGGTAGCTATTTTATTTTATATCTAAAACAAAAAGTTATTTTAAGTAATTTGTTTTAGCTCGTTAATGAAATAATCAGCTTTAAAAGGCACTTTAAAATTTGTTTTAGTTAATAACATAGGTACCTACTCGTATCATTTGATTGTCATGCTTAGCTGACGACTTCTTCAGTCGTGCAATATGACAACAGTTTACTTAGGCTTAGTTGCACCAACTTACTTTGACCGTAACTTTAACAAAAACCGGTGCTTTTTTATGGAGTTTGACAGTTTTTTGACGTTTGTCAAAATCAGATGGTGCAACTCAGCCTTATACTCTTTCCTCTAGCAATCCACATTAGTAGTACTCTAGTCTACTCGGTAGATTATAGCCCGATCTATCCCACCGTTTAACCGAAAAATGTATGCAATAGGACGATAGTCTTGTCCTTTTCCTTTACGTCAATTTACATTTTAGGCCAAATAATTAATCTTAGAAGACTTAAGAGTAATTGTATATCTGAAAAACCTAGTCAAAATTATTTTGTTGGCATTTAACATATCGAAGAATGTTAGTAGTGATTAGATATTAAATATAAGACGACGTCGTCGGAGCGTAGCAACATCAACTCCTGAGGATGCCGCGTGGCGAAACGCATCAGGTTTTTCTGCACGTCAGTGTTGGTACTAACTATTGCATCTTACGGGACTATTCCCACCTTTCGTTCCCACCACTGCAACTCCTGTTTAGCCAGAATCTACACCTTGACCGTCATAAAAACCCAACCAATCAAGGTCAATGTTCGGGGGAAAGTTAAACTGTCATTGGACCCGCAACGAAATTAATCAGAAGAACATAGGAGGAGTTCGAAATTAAGGTTCGACTTCCCTCCATTGCAAAGCGGATGACAGGTGACAAACAAAGGTATAATTCGATGGGTGCCTGGAACAAAGCCGCAATCGACAAAACACAATTTTACAGGAGAAGAGATTTAGTGTCAATTTTGAATAATTCTAAACTACGAGGCGTATCAAAACGGTTTGTATATCAAACGATGCGTTATTTTTTCTGGAGTAACATTGAATGTGCATAAGGTTATAGTGCTTAGAATATACTTTTAAAAAGGTAGAAATACATATTGCCGCTTCATACATTGAAAGTCGGTTCCGTAAGAGTCCATTGTGGTTTTATTCCGGTAAAAAGTGTGCAATTAATCAAACAGCAATAGTGTATTGCAGCCTCGGGCGCTGATCTGAAGGATACAGTAATAGCCGTTTGCTTGTAGAAGATTTAAATAAAAGTTTTAACATTGTATATGGCACGATTATTCCGGTCAACAAATTTTAAATGGTGAATGGGAATAACGATTCAATATCCATAGTGCTTTTGGTAAATCAGGCAGTTTCAAAGATAAAATTCTGAAAAAAATTCAAAAGGTGTATAGGGACCCGCAGTTTACTAAAATCACTTAATCGGAAAACTGCTGCTATGGCTATTGCGGCTTTGTTCCAGGCACCCATCGATNAATCTCGAGGATGCAACGACGTAGTATAATAACCTTGAAAATATATGCAACAGGGACAATAAATAGTATCAATTAAGGGGGCCTATCTTATGAGCAATAAACCTGCCAATAATATGTAGTTAACTATTGCATTTCGTGACGTGCGTTTCGATGACTCTTTTATAATGCGAACTGCTAGGGACTGGAATTCGTTGCCTGCTGCTGTCTTTCCCGAAAACTATAATCCGGGCCTCTTCAAGGCGAGAGTGAATAGGCACTTACAGGGCAGATATGTACCATCCTAGACTGCATCCCACTTAACATCAGGTGCGATTGTGGTCAAAAACCTGCCTTGTTATGCATAAAAAAAAAGAAAAAAAAATTATGTGTCGCATGCGATGTGTGTGAGGGCGGGCGGTGCTTTTTGCATATGCTCGCACTGTAATACACACAGATAGTGTGGTTGGGTACTTATGCCGGCGTCACTAAGCTGAAATTTTAAGCTAAGTAATTTATCTTTTTTATATCTAATTATAGATATCCGCAAAGTAACTCCTGATACTATTATGTTAGTAGTGATACCATGATGATGATGTCGTATTGATAATGACCTAGGCATGTCTCTAACTACGTCTAATGAATGATTTCTATCACAGTCAATGTTGTCGCCACGTGTATGACGTTTATCAATGCACTTGAACTGTCTCTGTTGTCATACATGGTAAGTACACGATGTGACTTTCTAATGCACTAGTTGGTTCTGGATATTAAACGTGCTTCGAATTAATTCTAAGTATCAATTTATACAATATAATATAAACGACAAAAAGATCTCTCGTAAGATTCCCCCAATGATTTTCAGATTTGCCGGTTGGTAGCGGCCAGCATTTGCCTTCTTGCAATCTTTACGAAGACGCCTGAAATACTTTTTTTTTGCTAGGAACTAATAAAAGTGTCCACAACGAATGTTTGCTGTCCTGAGCTGTCCGCATCCAGGTACTTCCCGTGACCTTCACCAGATCGTCGGTCGTTCGTAGTCGCCACTCGAGAACTTTTCTGCGCCAGCGGCCATCAGCTCTACGAGCTATGTGCCCTGCCCACTGCCACTTAAGTTAGGCTTGAAGGAGGCCTTAATCCAGCAGTCGTCATTGGTTAAAAAAAAATATGTATGTGTAAATTACATAATCTTCAAATCAAATGCCTGAATGTGTATGCCACATCCTTCAGCTGTATCTTATCTCAGATTTAATGAGAAATCTATTAACAACAGCCCGTTATCCAAACCTGATGAATCAAATTAATCAACATACCAGTCCAAACCTATGTCCACTTAATCTCAATGATAGTGATGTACTAACCTAATCGAGAGGCGATATTTGAAATCTATACTCTTATGAACTAAAGAGTTTGTTTGCTTGAGCCCGCTAATCTCGGGAACTACTGGTCCGATTTGAAAAAATATTTTTGTGTTAGATAGCCCATTCACCGAGGAAAGCTTGTTGTTGCTAAAATGTTTTTTTTCGCGCGTACGAAGTCACGAGCACAGCTAGTTCTATTGCATAATTGACTTGAATAATAGAGCACGTGTAAGCAAAAATAATTACCAGAAATAATAGAAATTGATTGAACGAGAAATGTTTTTGAATTCTAGAAGTTTTTTTGTTTTATAATAATGCATTTAAATTAACTCATTAGCTCTAATTTGTTTTTAGCTACAGGTACAATGGGTACTAATTAGCACAATTACTGCAGACATAAGTACTATTATTAAGTAGGTACTTAGGTACAGTCAGCATCAAATAGTAAATGACACCCAAAGTGGCCAAAAAGTTGAAAACACAACCTTATTCCAATTGTAACAAAGACTTATTGGGAATTTTTTGGCGCCGACTGTATCTACTAGTACCTTAGTGTTATTTTAGCTACGGTTTTTATTCCAAGCGATTCCAAAGTCGATCACCACACCAGTCAACTTTTTAGTCGCAACAACCAAGCGCTATATCGATTTGTTTGACGAATACCGATTCCACCGCATCTTCACTAGTCCGTAGATGTGTCCATACACATTTAATCTTACGTACTAACGTGTGGTGATTACCAATTAGCCGTCTCACACAATCTGATAGGCATAGATTGACAGTTACATCTGCATACAAACGACACCCGAGTGTTTGATGACAATAGGCTCTATTCGTATCTCGTATATGAATATTTTGGAACAGATTCTCGGCGATTATGAATCGATTATGTATGTTACAAATTTTCAGACAGAAAGTAACTTGCGCGCGTATTCACAAACATTACTATGAGGTCTCACAGTGCGCGTGGACGCACATGGTGACACACGAACCAACCACATATCTCTATTCAACGCTGTGCGTACGTTTTGCAGCTACACTTAAGCAAGCATCGTTTGTGAATACGGACGTTAATTTTGTTGTGATGTTCTTAAATTAGTTTAAATGGTAAAATTCATTCAATTACAGACACAAAACTATTCTTAAATCGAAATCCTGATAGAATTTATGTAAACATGTAAAGGGAAAAGGTATTTTAGTAATATTTTATTCGCTATTGCCAATATCAACGTATTTACCATATCCAACAACGGAGCCATCTATTTTATTTTGATTTACGAGTAGGTATTATAAATAGTTTCGCTATGTTCTCAAAAGTTACGTCCAAATAGGTAGGTACCTAGATTTATGCAACTTAAACGATTCGAAATCTTACAAATAAATAAAGACCCAGGAACATTATAATAACCAAACTCATCATCAACATCCCTTTACAGTCCAATGCTGGACTATGAGCCTCCTCCACTATAGCTTGGCAGGCGGGTTGGAGATCGCAGTTTCAAAGGTTGATGTTTTTCAGAGAGCGCTGCTGTATAACCTAAGTATTTCAAAATTGTAGCATAAAAAGATTAAAATTCAAGTTGTATGCAAAAAAGTGCATTTAATAATACCACGTACATTGATGTGGTATTATTAAATGCCATATTGCTGACATGGAAGATTTTTGCGACAGAGAACAAACAATAACAATATATGAATGTAAATATTATAGTATCTAAATAGTGTTACAGGTTATTTTTACAAGCGAATTATGAAAAAGATCAGCAAAAAAAGTCTAGTTCGTAAAAAACAGGATATAGGTAAATATTCTTTGCACATTCAAGTAAACAATTTGTCAAAATCGTAACTCATTCCACAAAAAGCGTATCAAGTCAATTGTGACAATAATACCAGCAAAAAGAACGATATTCCAGAACAGTGACTGTATCAGTGAAATAATTGTATTGGAGATATTTATAGGTGCCACACAAAAAGCGATAAGCTAAGTACCTATTATTAATGTTTTTATCCGGCAACTTAGTATATAAACGAAGACGGGGTGATTTTCTAATCAGTCTGCGCTTACGCATCTGCAGTGACAGTTGATAAATAGTGATTGTAATTACTAATTAATATTCAACAAAATGATCGAGAAAAAGGCGCCCGCGTTTACTGACCTAAGTGAATTCTGCAGCACCAGTGTAAGTTTATGATTTTTTTTAATAAAAAATATTTATAATAATGAAAATAAACAGCAAAACAAAACAGGTTTTGTTATTTGATAACAACAAAGCTTTTAAAGTCAATTTCGCGCGCATCGACTCTTCCGTTATTGATTTTTTTTCGTATTTGTATAGTTTATTTTTTATGAACTTTTTATTAAATTAAATATTTTTTAAGCTCTAGTATTTTTACAAACATCAAAGTAAAGGTTTCTAGCATTTGAAAAATGATTATTGATTAATACCATTGATTTAATACCATGCTTATTGCATATTGCTAAACATTTCAGTTCGCGTGAATCTTCCATGTAAAACATGCTATTTACTATTGTCTCAGCAAACGTTTTCATGCATTTGACATGACAATAAAATTGAATAGTGTAGATTTGGCAGCAACTATTTTGAAACTTTCATTTATCCACACTTTACAGACTTTTACCCCGGACTCATATTGTATTTATGTTATTTTTCCGTGTGAGACATTTATATAACAACACTTTATCTTTATGTAACGTGTCAGTCTAGACACAATAATAATAACTTTGGTTTCAAATAAGATATAACAAACTCTCACACAATCATAAAGTGTGTAAGTGCCAGTAAATATTTTATACTTTCACACCGTAAGCTTTTGTGAACAAGCAAACCTAGCGAAAGTTCGTAGATTGAAACCCAACTTGATACAGTTTAAATGCGGCATATCACTTTTTTTAAATAGTTTTGTTAACCCCTCATTGTAAGCTATGCATATTAAAATATTGAGTTGCGAGTGAATTCACCACAATAGTCCATAGGGCTTGAATTCGCGTCAATTCGGCCAGTTCATTGACATCGTTAGGCTTTTGTCACCTTAACTTTAACAATAATTTTAATTACAGGCTGGCGGAAAGGTAGTGTTCTCTACCGACGACTTCTTCGCGCCATGCGAGAACATGCTCCTGGATACCGAGCCCATATTTATCCCGGAGAAGTACACCGAATTCGGGAAGTGGATGGATGGCTGGGAGACCAGGAGGAAGAGGGTTACGGGACACGATTGGTGCATCTTGAAACTGGCCACTAAATGCGTTATTCGAGGTATGTATCGTATTATGAAATTTTGTCATTTTGTACCTTGATCACAGTTTTAAGGTGTCAGTAATATGGTCAGACTCTACGAAATGCTTTGGGAGGATAAGACTTAATACATTTGACTAAGTAGCCCTTTTTTGTTGTGATAACATTATTTATCAACCAGTCTTATCAAGCATGCAATTAGATGCTCAAGAAACTAAAAAAGTGTTGCTTATTTCATTTAGAAAGGAAGAAAAATATTTATTTGGTACTAAATGATACAACGTTAGAATGTAAAGTAAAATAAAGATGTCATAGTCAAAAACTGTTTGCCTCAATCACTACAATCTCCAGCTGTAGCTAGTAAAAATAAGATTTTCCAACAATTACTCGACACATAAACACTTGAGAGCAGCCGTAATAAAGCTAACAAGAGCTAACGATCGTTTGAACTCAGCTTTTATTCGTAATCTGACGACATCCTCCCTTCTAGGGTTACTCGTCGACACGGCCTTCTTTACCGGGAACTACGCTCCGAAGTACTCCATCCAGGCCGCGTGCTTGACACCTGAAGGTAATTAATTAAGCTTCATTGAGTTAATTAAGATAAACGTTGGATACAGAAGGTACATTCAGACTTTACGTTTTTGTTGCAAAGTATCACTTAGTTCAATTAAGTGAGATGCCACTGTGTTTTGTTTTATTTGACAGTATCTACTTTGTTAAAATGCCTGTAGAAATTTGTGTTTTTTGTACCTATTTTGTACCTATCTGGTGGCAAGAGATAATTTTATTATGGGCTTGTCTAAGGGCTGAATTGTGTTGCTAGCTTGCATTCTGGTTGGCAATATATAAGTAGTTGCAATACCTTAAAATACAACAACTAGGCGCTATACATACAAGTGGCATAAGAGACGCTAGCAACGTTCTATTTGGCAAGGTTTCCGGGAAAGCGCGCGTGGGTTGATACCATTCTTGTGACAAAAGAAACAAAATTAAATATTTATTTTGGACCAACGTAAATTGTAAAATGACGTAACCAAATTACAGTGCCAAAATATGTAATTTTGTGTTCAAAACTTTTCCCTTTTCCTCAAACTTTACCCGTTCCGATCAGTATCAGAAAGTCTAATAAATATCAATTTCCCAACAGAGGAGGCTTTGGCTCCTGAACGCGATACAAAGATGGGTTCTGCCTGCACCGACTGCGAGTACGAACAGATTGAAAGGCTTAGCTCTGACAAATGGGAGACGATAGTCCCCGTTACAGCACTACGGCCTGGATATGAGGAAACGAGGCTCAACTACCAAAAGGTAATTCGGAATTCGATTCGGAAAAATGATACGAATAAACTGAAAATCTGTTTTGGATATATTTTTTTAAGTTTGTTGATTTTCAAACATTTTAAGTACCAACACAGATTACCGCCCGTATTCACCAACGATACTTTCTTAGGTGAAGCAGCAAATCGAACGCGCAGCGTTGAATAGAGTTCTGTGGTTGGTTCGTGTGTCACCCTGTGCGTCCACTGACCTCATAGTAATGTTTGTGAATACGGGCGTAAATTTATGTTGCAAAGCATTTACAATATACCCCTGCACTTATTATTTTGAAATCCCATCGTTCGCTAGACTCTAGCTTACGCTGCTTGATAATAAGTTTAACTCCTTTATTGTGTATTTATTCTGCTTTTATTATCAGCTTCTTCTGTCTTATGTAATAAAAAACCCATTAGAATCCCAAATAAATTCAGCACTTACTTAATGCTACTTGTCTATATTATCAAGAAATCATAACGTCTCAAAGTAAACACAAGACTCATCCCTTCTTTTCCATCATAGGTGGTAAGCGACGAAGCCTGGACACACATCAGAGTGAACATGTTCCCTGACGGTGGAATCGCCAGGCTCAGGGTCTATGGAGAAGCTCGCCCAGAACCGCCTTCAAGCGATGAAATAGTGGATCTAGTCTCGCTGCTCAGTGGTGGTACTTGCCAAGGTAAGCAAATATCTTATTGTAATCTACAGTCTACACTTTGTATTACTGGTAAGGTTTATAAGTTTGTTTGTAGAAAGTAACATTAGTCAGACTATGATGCGCGCCGTGATGAAATTTTGTCGATGATTTTATATGACATACGTATCTTATCGCGTACTACGCTTATCGCGTGCGACGCTTATCGCATACGACGCTTATCGCATACGAAGCCTATCGTATACGACGCTTATCGCATACGAAGCCTATCGTATACGACGCTTATCGCATACGACGCTTATCGCATACGACGATCATCGCATAAAATCGATAAAACGCAACTTTTGACAATGTCTGCCTCATTTTACAAAATTAGAGAGAAATTAAGAAATTATTGAGGAATCCTGAGAAAAGGTGCTACATTTTGTTGTAGAGTAACACTTTTGATTCCAGTTAAACTTTATTGTACAAAATTAAAAGTTTGAAGTCTGACGTTTTAACTATGAAATCTACCACTGCTTTAGGATTAGGTAGACCTATATTACCCGACTGCGCCAGAAGGAGGTTTATGTTTTAAAATTGATTTGTACATGAAAATATTATTTGTTTTAGGATACTCAAATGCTCACTTCGGACACCCTCGTAACATGATCAAGCCATGCAAGAGCAAGTGTATGGCTGATGGCTGGGAGACGGCTCGGAGACTGGACAGGCCAGAAATCATTGAGGCTAATGATGATGGCACTTTGAAGCTACCTGGTAAGACTTAAAGATCATTTTGGCTTGGAGCTTTATTGATAAAAAAAATATGTCTATGCTCTGTCTCTAACCAATTAAACGTTCACTTTTCACGCAATTATAGCTATAGCTGTCCTTTTATAAAAAAAAAATTATTATTTCTATAGACATTATTACTTTATCAATAAAGCAAGTCTTAAAATATCCTCTTAATGACTATTCGCCAGAATGAAGTCACAAAATTTAATTTCGAAACTGGAGACAGTTTATTGAAGGCTAATGTATTTCCAGGACAAGAATGGGCAATTTTGAAGCTTGGCTTTCCTGGAACCATCCAGAAAATATGCGTCGATACGGCACACTTCAAAGGGAATTACCCGGACTCTGTAAAGATAGAGGGCGCTTATTTGGGTTGCGCTGATTGGTCGCCGGACTCTACGTACACTTGGTCTACCGTTTTGAAGGCTAGCAAGGTAAGCTTTTTTCTTCAGATACTGAGTATATACAGAATTATAGTGCTAACATTGGTATTTTGAGATTAACATTGTACCACATTTGTCAAATATGTAGATAGTTAGGGTTAAATTTTGCTATAATTTGCTATAATAAACCTACAGTTAAATCTCTACTTTTCCTTATGGAGACAAAAGAGGATCTTATTAAGTTTTTTCTGTTTTTTTTTTAATATTATTAGCAATACACTAGGAAAATAAAAGTTATTGAACTTTCGAAAGTCAGTTTATACAACAATAACTTACAATGTTTTCCGTTTGTCCGCAGCTCTCAGCCCATAACGAGCATTGGTTCGACTGCCATTCGGAACCCATCACGCACATCAGAGTTTCCATGGCCCCTGATGGTGGAATCAGCCGCATCAGGACATTCGGTTTCATTGTACGTAGTGATTAATAACAAAGAACTGTAAGAGCCTTGTACAATGTTAGAGCCAAAGCACACGATGCGTTGCGGCGGCGGTGCGACGCTGGAGCGGTGTCGCTGCGTCGTCTTACATAGAAATATCTGTGGCACACGAGCGGCGAAATCTTTGCGGTACGGCGCCGCAACGAATCGTGTGCTTTGGCTCTTAGAGCCTTATAGAGCCAGTATCGTGAGCTTGAATCTCGAAGTAAGTTTATTTCATAAAATTGTAGGTATAGTTATGTTTATATGTTGGATTCGACACTACTTATCAATATTTTTAAGAGAATCTGTGACTTCACAGTCATATTCGCTGACTCTATTGAGTATCTTTAACATGGTTCCTTATGGAAAATTAAGTAAGAGTTATCTAAGAAATTGAATAGTGGTGTCAATGAATCAACTATTACAGCTAGAACTAGAAGTGACAATATTTATGCATTGTATTTAATCTCTTTTAATTTAAGTCAAGTAAGTTTAGGTTATCGTAAGCCGCTGGCGGCTCCAACCTATTTTTTTTTCACCTGCATTAATGAAATATTTATTAAAATGTTTGATTAAGACACTTTCAACTATTCAAAGTTCCTTTGAGCTTTCCAGCTTGAATTCATAGTTAAACGCCTTTTTATTATTGAGTGTGTAATAGAACTAATATGATTATTAATTTCTGTACCTGATAGGTTACTTTTTAACATAGTGTTAGAGTTAAGATTTAACTGTGTGAAGTTAAAGTATTATTACGAATAAAGTACATTTATCAATTATTTCAATCTCTTTGATTTTCACCTTTATTACGTTTTGATGTTCATTATCTTTTCAAAGCTGAAATCTGAATAGGTACAACAAAATATCAACACGAATAATATTTGTGTAACGAAATCTTAATGCAAAGTTTTATTTATTTAATATTAGTCTGATATTATAATTGTTCGAAATCCTACCTGCACTCAACAGGTATTTGATAGCAGTAACTGGATTTTTCGTAACATTGATACTGAGCTGTATCAAGTGATATTAATCCTTCAGGCTCCGCGAATCTAGACACAATAGATAATCAATCGTTACGCGGCAGCCGGCAACCGCTTGGGAGCTGAGAGGTTATGTAGTAAGCCTATATTTTTTTGCAAAATGAAGTAATGTCAAGGATACTGAGACAGTTATTATACCTATTTAATTAATGTTTTTATAATGCATCAACAAAACTAATTATTGTGTTCCGACAATTAGAAGTAAGATAGCCAGTTCCTCCGTGGTTGAGGATTCCGGGTGAAGCTCGCTTCCACCTTCGGCCTGATCATCACTTTTCATCAGGTGAGGTGCAGGTCAAGAGCTTCCTCGTTGTGGATAGTAAAAATAAAAATAAAACTGTCAGTAACTTTTGTCGAACTACAGAGACTTCTTGAAATAAAAATAGAAAACAAAACTGATAGCGTCTGGGTCCTGCCACATGCTGTTAAAAGTTTTGTTCATTTTTATAGAGCCCGGTCCACGACAATCTCCTGCACAATATCCGGGCTGATCACATATCGGCTGACAACTTGTCACCGCAGAATGGAGGGTAAATTGAAATTTTCATCCAACTTTCCATTGGCTCGCTTGACACGTCTGAGATATTGAGCTTGGTGATTCGACGCGCGTATTCTACTAGAAAGGGAAAAAAACTTAGTTGTTTTTTATTAAAATTATTATGTGTCAGACTTTATAATGCAGTCATTGCAAACCCGTCGACACGCTGACATGAGTCTTCGACTTTTAACATGTTGTCATACGTCATAGAAAGTTCAAGTCGTCGATATGGTTCTTCTAAAATAAAGCCGCTGACACCAAGCTGCCGGACCTATAGGTTATCCTGTTACCTTTTCAAACTATAAAAGCGAAGTGACTTGACTTTATATTGTAAAATCACATGTACATAAATTAGGTGGTAAAAATGTTGCGTTCCACAACTTCCACCACATGATCATACGAGTACAATTAATATTGAATATGAAGTATTAAAATTGCTCTTTGTATCTTTAGTTATCTTTAAGCCGATACAAAAAATAATGTGCAACCATTCGAGAAATTTCCAATCATGCATAATGACAAAGACTACTTCATTTCCAATTAGTTAATTAAAGACTACAAGACTGTCACACTGGCCATTTAATAATTAATTATCTGTGTATTATTATTTGCATTGTATTATTTATTTCCATAACTTAATTGATGTATTCTACGTAGAAAGTTACTGAGATACATACTTATATAACTTAATGACGTCTTGATAAGTATTGGTTAATTAAGTGTCGTTACAGGATGCCAATTAGTGTTAATTAGTAATATTATAGTCTCTATTATTATTATGAGCCTAAATAAAAGAGAAACAAAGATAAATACTTAATTCTGACAAACTCAGAAAAATATTGTATGAGCATGAAAAATCTGACTTCGAATATTTGAGGTACACTTTGAAGGTCTATAGCAATTCAGTGGGCGGAACACATAGCTCGTAGAGACGATGGCCGTTGGGGCAGAAAAGTTCTCGAGTGGCGACCACGGGCTGGAAGACGTAGCGTGGGCAGGCCTCCTACTAGGTGGACCGACGATCTGGTAAAGGTCGCGGGAAGAGCCTAGATGCGGGCAGCGCAGGATTGTGCATTGTGGAAAACCTTGATGGAGGCCTTTGTCCAGCAGTGGACGTCATTTGGCTGAAACGAACGAACGAGGGTCTATATCATTTTGGAATATAAATTCATACACTAGTCCAAAATTTTGCAGTTCAGTATAAATAGTAAATGCTACCACAGACTCGTAGAAAGAAGCGCATTCAACAACAGCACGCCAGTCGATATATTCGCGCAAAGCAAATGCTCTGGAGCGCATTATACCATCACAGCTCAAACAGATGTGCCACAGTATAAGTGAGCATACTAAGATGAGTCCACCAAAAATTAGCTGTGTCGATGTTTTTAAAAATAGACATTAAATATTATTTTTTTATAACTTGAACTAGATTTTTTTTTGAAGATATTAAAAATTTACTTTGCGAGGCTCACTCCTAACGCAATTTCTTAGAAAGTTAAATTTTCTTTCACATTTTTCACTGCGCAATCCAGCTTCAAACAAAACAAAGCGTTATAATAGGAATATTGTTTGTTATACCCATACTTTTTTTCTGCAAAGTCAAATCCTCTATTTAAAGGGATATGATAATATTGATAATGATAGGTACTTGACAAGTGACCTATCAAAATGACAATACCCGGACTACTATAAAGGATCTACTTACTAAAGACAGCACTGAATTCGATTCTACTATGCCACGATACCATCACAGCTCAAACGGAGCTGCGGTCTTTGAAAAAAAAATGTAAATGAGAATTCGCTAGTTTCACACCGAGCTCGTCTTTTCTCGTTAGGGAGAATAGCATTTTATTTTGAATATAATAAAGCTCATATTTTAACGGGGTCAGCGGAATGTGCGAAAATGTAATTTCGCCCGCTGAGTAGTGAGACAGACGGTTTCAAGTAATAATGATATGCTCACTGAACAAGAATTATTTTGCTGTATTTGTACCGTCGACAGCTTCTGCGTAAATTGTAACGAAAAATTTACGGCTAGCTATTCAATAGAAAAATTAACGTAAAGACGTGCACTGCTGTAAAGCTTTTCAACTGTCATTAAATGCCTATAATTTTGTTACAAATATTAAAAGTATCTCATCTTACATCAATGTGAATATTTATCAAAACTTTTTTTGTATACTGTATAACAGATTCTGTTTGTATACTGTTGAATATTACAAAAAGATAAAATACGAGTGTGATGAAGGTATGGTATTTTTATTTTCCCTGGGCAAAAAACAGGTAACAAAAAATAAAACTCTAGAAACATTTTGGGAAATGGTAATCAAAATCAGGCTATTCGTACTAAGTAATCAAAATCAAAAATCAAAATCAAAATCAAAAATATTTATTCAGTTTAGACCACAAGTGGCACTTATGAACGTCAATAGAAAATAATAAAAAAAGAAAAAGGTAGCCCTTATGGGGCACTTTACATGTCTCCTTATCTTTTGGGCCCTACCAGCGCTTCGAGACAAACATATGGNAATTGGGAAAACATTATGCCAGATAACCTATTACTCGTTATGCAAGACCGCACGTGTCAACTAGCCCACGATAGTCTGAACTCGGACTTTGCTTATCATACATAAGACCGTCCACCCAGTAAAATCTGGATTTCATCAGTGCAATGTAGAGACGCTATCTGACAGTTAGTGATTCATTGCGGGTGATTGTAACTGCGTCTCAAATGTTGCGTTTCAAGATAACTCTAAAAGTTTCCATTAGTTATTTTTTGTTTGGATTTTACTCGTAGGTGATCTTGAACTTGATTGTTATGTTAATAACATGCTATGACAATAACAATGAGTTTAGTAAATTAACGGATTATTTGTTTTTAGTTTTCATCATTTATGTACAGGCAATAATTATAAGTATTTCTATTATTATTGATTGGCTATCTACGTGATTTTTATTCCTGTGAAAGTGTGAAGGTTATAAAACTGATTTGTATTAAGAAAATAAACAAAAGATTGTTGCAAAATACAATATCACATTTTCATGACCCCGGATCAAGATACAAATAATAATATATAGTACCAACAATACTTTTTTTTTATCTTTTACTATTATGAAGAGTGCAATTCTTATCTTTTACTATAATGATAGATAGTGCATACAGGGTCCTATTTATAAATAATAATGATTGTCTAGATTTTATCTGCACTGTTATTGTTTCAATAAAAGTACTATTTGTTTATTTATTTTATACAATCAATAAGCCGACGACAACTATACGTAGCCGAGAACAATTAACTAAAAGTTAAATATAATTATCCACGTATTTATTTTAGGTGACTAAACAGAGTATAGGTTCAAGTGTTTGCAAATCGAACGTACGACGTTGAATAGAGGTCTGTGATTGGTTCGTGTGTCACCCTGTGCGTCCACGCGCACTTGAGAACTCATAGTTTTAATGTTTGTGAAAACGGGTGTAATTCTATTATGTGTTCATAAACACGGAATTCGTGTACAAATACAATTAATTTATACGAATAGCACCAACTGCGGTCTCCCTCATCAACTCAAGTGTCAATAGTTTGGCTTTGAGTTCGGTATTACAGTTTGAATTAATGCTCTCTGAATGAAAATGCATAAATTATGCGATATTGAAACAAGGCAAGTCTTTGGGTTCTTTGTGAATGCAGAAAAAAGTTAGTTGAAGTAACAGCATAATTATGTTATGTAATTATTAACTACTTTAATAATATTTATGAAATGCTGTAAAAAGCTATACGTTTACATGTTTACCGTATTACTAATATTGAAAATGCGATTTTTTACTGTGATTTTTAGTAGCCAGAATCTTTCAGTAAATTACTTTAAAGTCACAATTTTGCCGTATTTATTTCTAACAAAAATCAAGTGGCAGTGGGCGGGACACATAGCTCGTAGAGCTGATGGCCGCTGGGGCAGAAAATTTCTCGACGTAGTGTGGGCAGGCCTCCCACTAGATGGACAGACGGTTTGGTGAAGGTTACGGGAGGTGCCTGGATGCAGGCGGTGTAGGACCGGTCTTTGCGGAAAACTTTGGGGGAGGCCTTTGTCCAGCAGTGGACGTCTTTCGGCTGAAACGAACGATGTTAATTGAAGACTCGGGGCTTATTTTGTGAGTTATTTTTACCTTCTTATATATTTACATCGCGTAGCAACCAAG